AAGTATCTATATGAGCTATTAAGCCCAGTAAGAAATCCGAATGGATAACGAGGTTTTAAAATATGGTTTTACGTACTTATATTAGTATATACACATAAGCATCACACCTTACCATTCGTCGGCAAACGAACACACACAACCGCGTAATTTCATTTAAGCACGTAAATCAACTCAAATGCTGAAAATTACTAATTTACCCTTTTTCGTGCAAATGTATGAATGAAAGCATTTTCTGTTGTTCGGATCCATGAAAAATTAACTTCTTTACTTGGATGATAAGCATATTATTCTGAGTCCGTTCTTTTGGTGGAATCAAACCACCCCTTTATCTATAGTAACTATGGTTGGGATACCAGCCCCCCGTATCCCGACTTATCCAACCCAAGCATTCCATTAACCTTTCCTTTCGTAAAAATGAAATCTCTTTTTATGCAAGACCATGAGACGAATGAGACTCTAATACGAAAATGACCACCTTACGACATCACAAATATCAATCAACGAGCATACAAAAAAAATCAAATTATCCACATAATACACATAAACACACGCAATCACACACATATCACACACATATATATGTAACCACTTAAGTATAGCACATAATTCACAAAATTATTATGGCATCATATTATATATTTATATATCATAAATTATACACACAACAGCACACACACACGGCACACACATATACACATAACATGCAGCCCCAAAACACACTTTAATTAGCATTAAATTATCAAACCATGCATTTAAAGCACCAACATTTTTATCCTTTCATTAATGGGGTTTCTCCCACATTTATTCATTAAATGAATTCAAAATTCTTACAGCCCCTTAACATAGTTCAGCTGCAGATTTTTAACCATCAATTCACATTCTCACAATTAATACTCAAGACATAATGATTAGAACACAAAAGTTCTATTTATGACACATGCACAAGCAATATTTCGAAATAATAGCAAATAGCATCTAAAAATTCTCATATTTAATTATATGCTACCTAACTGACTAAATGAACAGATGCAAAAAGAATTTTGCAGTTTCCTCAAAAAACGGATTTATAAAAATTAAAATACTCGGCAAGTAGTGTTGAAGCCAAAAATGATTTTTCGAACAAATATTAATCCAAAAACTAAGGCCAAATAGCAAATAATCAAATTCCACTTACTCCTACTGAGATTTTAAAGGTGAAAACATTTTTCATGTCGAAATTTCAAGAAATTGCAGATTAGCCCTAAAGATTCATAGATCTACACATGCAACCCAAAAATTTTGAAAAACTCATTTTCTTTTTTCCAAAATTTCCAAAAATTCGAAATATTAAACCTTTAAACACAAAATACTTAGATTCAGAGATTATATCATGGATTAGACATGCAAGAACACAAATATCAAGATTAGCACAAAATTTCGGATTTTACACAAAAAGCCCTAATTTTTCGAAAAGTGAGGAATCTTTTAAGTAGTTTTGAAAATCCTTTTCCATACTATGATACCCTTCGATTGCAGCTAGAAATTCGAGATTTCTTACCTATTAAAGAGTGTTGGCCGAAGAAAGAAACCTTCAAAAGAAAAGAGGGTTTCTTAGAGGAAGAATAGGAGGATGAAGAAAATGAAGAAAACGAAGATACAATGTTACCTCCTTCAAGAAGTGGCTCCAAGATTGAACCAAGCTATTTTAATGGAGAAGATAAGAGCTTTGATATCAAGTTGGGAGGAGTTTAAATCTCCCGTAAGAGGGCAAGTGTTTTTGATGGTGTTCTTGGCATATTCAAGGGTAAAACTTATATAGGGGATTTGCATTTTGATTTCTCTATTTTTTTCTTGAAGAATTTTGATGTGTTGGCCGATGGAGGAGGTGGTGCTTCGGTGGTGATGGTGAAGAGAAGACAAGTGGGGGTATAGGTGGAGAGAGAAGAAGACATGAGAGTGTCTCTTGAGATGACTTAGCATGCTTGAGTGTAGGATTAGTGTAAATCCTCACTCTTTGCCAAGTGTACAAGCATGCATCTTTTTCCTAATTTATTTACTAATTAATAAATTCACTAATTAACTCTCACACACACACATATCCGAAAACACACACACATATCCGAAAACACACACACATATATTTAAATATGTATTTCACTTATGTAGGTCTAGCATGCATAAGCATATAGCTATATATATGTATAAACGTATATGTATATGTGCATGCATGTATTATAAAACACTTAGAGAATTAAAATGCCACAAAATTAATTAACTATAGCACATGTATTCACATAAGTCACATAAATTAACCTAACACATAATTATAAATAATTAATCCACTTGAGCACATAATTATCGAAATAAAGTTGGCATATAATCGTCCAATAATTCCTAGCACATAAGGCACACAATCAAATTGGCATATAAGGATTATTAGTCTAAGCAATATAAAGCACTTAAGGAATTTAAGTTAGTAAGATTCCTAATAATTCCTACGTGAGAATTTCCGGGTTATGAAATTTTGGTTAGGGATTAAGGTTTCGAAAATGTGGGGTGTTACATGGATGTCCTGTGTGTTCTAACGGTTTATAATCCAAGGAATCTCTGGCCAGAGTTGATAGTGGGGTGATTAGGGAAATATGTTTCCCGCCTAAGTCAGACACGAACGAATTTATAATACCTAGAACGTTCGCACGTCATTGAACTTTATCAGAGGTCTCGGTGAACCAATGCCTCTAGTTCAATCGGGACATGTGCTGCGAAGGGATCGTACTGTACGCTAACTATATCATAATGTTCTTGCAGGCACTTCACTTGTATCTAGGGAATCATGATGCGTAGTTGCTAGGCGCCAATCTTGATTCGTTGGGCACCGATTTGATCGGCGATTAAGTAAAATGAGTTTTACTTGAATCGAGACTCTTGGGAGGAGTTCATATAAGAACAATGTGTTGTTCGAATCACAAAGAGTTGTGAGCCCACGGCTAGCATACACCTGAACCATTGAGGGTCACACTTCTTGTGTAATATAGATCCTTGATAAACAACAAGCATAGATTAATATGTTAATCTTTGAACGATTGGATGTCAATATGATTGAATCCAAGATTCGTAATTGTGGATTACGAATTGGAATGAACGTAGAGAAAGAGACATGCGGAATTTAGTGAACTTTCTAAATTGGGAAGTTTCCCGATTTAGCAGGTCCACTGAATTAGAAGTTTCCACTTTTGGAAATTGGAAATTTCGAAGAGACACTCGTATCGACGAGGACTTTGAGCTCGTCACAAATATAATTTTGTTATATTTTTGTGAAACGATCGTTTGTGAGAAACGAGGACGACAAGGCGATGGGCTTAATGGATCAGTGGGTCAGACCCAATGACTTAAGCCTACTAGGGTTGAGAACCCTAGTATAAATATACCTCAAAAGAGAGTTTGAGATCAGATTTTTACACACAAAAACCCTAGCCGCCCAGCTCTCTCGGCCACCGCTGCCCCGCCGCGCCGCCGCCGCTCGCCACCGCTTGTCGCTGGTTTTCTCCTCTCTTCTCCTTCGTTTATTCTTTGTTGTTTATCTAACTCGTTTACATCTAGTGCTGTAGTTCGAGTGGGTCAAAATATACGAGGTGAAACCTGATTGGAGGAGAGCAAGACCGCTGCCCCGCCGCCGAAGTCGCACGCGCCGCCGTTACGCAGCACGCGCCTTTTGCGTGAGTCGCACGCGCCGCCACCATGTCTGCCATGCGCCGCCGTCTGCCATCTGCTGGACCAGCTTGCTCCAGCCGTGAGTTGCTGCCCCGAGGATTGGTAGTTCGCAGCTTGTACGTGTTCGGTTCTAGATTTCGATTCGTTGAAATCCCACGCTTCAAGAGGTAAACCGAAATCTCTCGTAATATATTATAAATTTGGATTTATGATTTACTTGCGAGCATGTTGATTTTGTGAATTAATTGTTATCATGATTTATGAAATTATGTGAACAAGCATGTTTTATATTTTTCGGTTTTACATGTTTTGATAAAAATCGATAATTACCATGTGTATGGCGGAAGCGTTAAGGTACGTTGACTATGTGATTAGTTTATGCATGTAATCGAAACTACTTCGATCTAAAATTTTTAAATTCCGCTGCGTATACATGCACGATCCCCAACAGTTTGTTTGGATTAGGATTTACAGAGTTAGAAGAGGATGGTTCACGTAGTCGGACCAGAGTTGTTTTATATGAGTGTCATAGTTGGTTTATGTAATAATCGAAAAAAATGTATGGTGTGGTCGAGTTCATGAGTTTGATCCCGATTGATAGTTGGTTTATTTGTCTACAACAGTCGATTTTAGTTTGCTCGCTAGTACATTAAAATATATTTCGTAGTCTTTTTTTATTGAGTGTATGGATTATGCATTTTAAGTTTATTTTGGATGATATTAATTTATTGTCATTCAGGTGTATTTTCAGTCTATTTAATCAAATTTTAGTATTCTGCATTTTTAAGTTCGTTCCATGATTTTAGGTTTTTTCGATGGTGAATTTCGTACGGATTTTGTTGAGGTTTGGTGGGTTGGTTGCTATAAAGAGGTGTTCGAATGGGTTTTCTCGCGGTTCATTGGTTGCATTTGTTATTTCAAAGTGGCCACAACTCGATGGATGGGATATAATCATCACATATAGGCTGGAAGGCATTGGTGAATGTATCTTGGCTGACGATGAGGACATGATGTCGATGTTTGAAATGTTATCAGATCTCTCGTTGGATTGTATTGATGTTAACATTGTTGGAAAACCAGTAGGTTTGCCTGGACCGAATGTATTATCTGCAGAGGTTGGTGGCTTCCCATTGGTGTTGTATGATGAATGTGTGGTTGTTAATGAACACAATGTAGAGGGAGTGGCGGATAAGGTGAAAGGCAGAAGATTGCTGAGTGCGGATTAGACATATTTGATTAAGGATGTAGGTCACGTTTTTTAAGGCGGTGTTCGTGAGTTCCGGAAATCGCTTATCAAATACTCTATTGAGATGGGATTTGAATTCTCGTATGTTAAGAATGTGACAACGAGAGTTACAGCGGAGTGTCGTTTCAAAAATGCTAGCCAATGTTCGTGGAGGATACATGCATCGGTGGATAAATCAAATGATTACTGTTATATTCGGTCGTACAACAAACATCATCAATGTGGAATGTTTTTTGGAACAGCTAGTAAGAGAAGATTGAATTTAGTTGTCATCATTGACCCGATTGAAACTGATATTCGTGCAATGCCGGCTATAACTCCAGGAGAAATTCAGAGCCAAGTGAAGGATAAATTTGGTGTTGACATAAGCTATTGGGTTGCATGGAGGGCTACCGATGCGGTAAGAAGAATGATCTTTGGGGACGAGACTTCTTCATATTCCTACCTTCAATCTTATTTTGATGAAGTGGGGAAGACAAATCCTGGTAGTATCTTTCATCTTGATGTTGAGGTGGAGAAGCAGATTTTCCGACGGTGTTTTTTTGCATTTGCAGCGTGTTTGGATGGATTCAAGTTTTGTCGTCCTGTTGTCATGCTCGACGGCACGTTTTTTAAAGGTAGATACAAGGGAGTGTTGCTTAGTGCAGTGGGTAAAGATGCTGATGAAGGTAATGATCTTACTGCATTTGTGTTTAATAGTATCTTAATAGTTATACCATAGTTTATTAAATGTCATATGATAGTACAATTGAGTTATGTAGTAATCTGCACAGTTGATTCACAAAACAGTTAAAAAATGTTGTAGTGATTTTGGTTTAATTTCGTATGTGCAGGTCTGTTCCCTATTGCATTTGCAATTGTAAGTGAGGAGACTGATTCGAATTGGGATTGGTTTTTGAGTCATTTTAAGGATGCTATTGGAAATGATAGGACGCTCAACTGTTTGCACACATATTGTTACAAACATTTGCAGAACAATTTGAAATACAGGTTCAGGGGTGTTCCAGCCGGCTTTCGTGAGACGGTGTTGCAACAATTTGCGGCGTGTGCTTATGCGACAACTAAGGAAGAATTTGATCGATGTATTGACAAGCTGAAGACTACTGGTGGGACGAAAGTTTGCAATTTCTTAGATGATCTTCCAAAAGAGAAGTGGTCCAACGTTTACTGCGAGGGTCATAGGTACGGACATATGACTTCTAATGGATGCGAGTCGTGGAGTCATCAAATAAAGAAGCAACGTCACTTGCCGATAACTAGTCTGATTGATGGCATAAGGTTGTTGTTAATGACGCAAATGTGTAAAAGGCTATGTGATGGCAATAGATGGACGACTATGTTGTGTGAGAAGACTGAGAAGAGATTGAAGGAGGCTGTTGACAAGGGGCGTTCATGGATATGCAAAAGATCTTCTATGCATGTGTTCGAAGTTTTTTCGTCGCCAAATGCTGTTGTTGATCTTGGAGAAAGGACATGCTCTTGTAGGCTGTGGCAAATCAATGGGTTTCCATGCACACATGCTGTTATCTTTGTTGAACTTCGTTGTGGGCTTGCTGCGTATGATTATATTGATAGATGGTACCATAGATCAACATTTAAGGAGAGTTATTCGGGATCAATTATACCCTTTGTGAGACAAGTGTCAGATCTTCATGTTGCTGTAATTGGACCTCCTGAAGTTAAACCAACACGTGGTCCCCCAAAGAGGAAAAGGATTCCATCGCACGGTGAGTGTGTCCCCCGGAAAATGACTTTCAGTCGTTGCAAAGCTCAAGTAAATCATAACAAGAACACTTGTAGGAAGTGACTGCTATAATTTATTTGTTTCCAGTAGTTTTTCAAGGTTGATGGCTTATGTTTAAAATGATTTTATTTTTTGTTTGCGTACAATATTTCTGGTTTTATGGGATTTTTGGAACAAAATGTTTAACATTGACTTTTTAATGGTTGTTGTTTATATTATCAAGCTTAGTATTTGATTAGAATGCTTATAGTTATTTAAAATGATACCAGTAGTCGAATTAAATCTATGCAGTCGTATATTTCGATTTAATTTGTGTTGTAGACTTTTTTCTATCGTGTGGTCAGTTTTTGACAAGATTTTCGTTGTTAATCAATTTAACATTCAAAGATAGGGTCTATTAACACGTGGTTCTATAATTTCACAAAATTGCAGAAATAAGATGCACAGTATTAATTAGTTATACACAGTTGTATAAGAGTATATAATTGTTGAATGACAGCTCGATAGCAATATAGTGTACATTACATAGACGATTTTTCGTACGGTTTTTTTTGTGGATATATCTGAAGAGGCGTACGTTCTGATGAGTCGTCTATATTTAAACCGCATAAGTTGAAAAGGCATGTGTACGTAGCGATGCGTTTGTAAACCCGGGAGACGCATCATATTGATTATAGGGTTTCACGATTATTTTTTTCGACTATATAAGCATATCAATGGAACAATACATTATATCTAGAACATACTTTTCTCAATAAAATAAGTACAATATGGACCGAAGGTTGTGGATACAAACTGAGAGGGTTTTCGCAGAAGCAGAATGGAGTCGTAATTTCGGAGATATTGCAATTCCAATGTACGAGGAGTCATGGGCAATTCTTGACGGGGCTGATGGTGGTGTGGCGAACAGTGAAAATTGTCGTAGTTCGAGGCACACGATGATTTTTTATGATCTAATAGGCTGCAACATGTGTTGGTTTTGTTTGTATGTCGAGAATAACGGGTCGCCCCGAGTTCGTAATAATAACGAAGGTGTTGTTGCTGGTGACGCTGGAAGACGTGTTGGGGGTGAACGAGGTGGAGTCGTTGATCCTAGTGGAAGTGGGGCAGTGAATTCAGGCGCTGCGCAGTTTTCTGATGAAGAAGTGGATTGCATACCAGATGATAGCGACGAGGACATAAACTCAGTGAATTCAATTGATTCCGATGGTTGTTATTTTCCAAACCCCCCTAAGAATTGATATGCTTGATTAACGCCGTGATTACTTAGTAATGGCAATGTAAAATTTGTTGAGTGTTAAACGTTGTAATAAATTTAGTGTACTATTATGAATAATGTATGATACTACTATTAGCAGTTGAAGTTACTATGACGTGATAAGTAATGTACTAGAGTCTATTTAATTAGTATTATTAAAGTGTTATGATGTGATTTAAGTATTAATTTGATCATGTTGGAATTACTGTACGTTGGTTTTGTTGTAAACGTTATTATCATTTTAGCTTGACATATGGGTTTGTACTATTATATTGATATATTGTTTTTAAGACACCTGCATACCAGTACAAGAACCGTAATGTACTATCATAACATATTAAATATACTGTAATGAAATCATTAATATACTATCATAGCAGTTGGTGTTCAATAATACGTTCGATTTGGTATATGAACTTTTTTTTGTGTACTAATGTCATATGATAATCTTCGTGAGATTATCTCATGGATTGAAGTAATATGTTATTCAACACATGTTTGTTTTTGGAGTGTTGTAAATGGTGCACACAATTCGGTGATATAGGATATACAATTCACTACTACATATATTTGAGTACTATTATCATCAACATAATATACTATTGGCATGTATGTAATGTACTATGTGCTCATAACTGCATAAAATTCAAAAATAAGTATTGTGAATAAGTTAATACTGAAAACATCATATTACACATAATATTCAAAAATAAGTTTTGACTGGCCTATGCATACAGAAAATTAGTTGACATCATATTATCAGAAGGTTGACTGGCCTATGCATCATATTCCTTGTAACCCCATTCCAAGAAAGTCTTTATGATTTCTTTGCGCATATTAGCCAAGTCATCACTTGCGCTGCTTGGGTCTATCGGTTGTTGATGAAATATTTGCTTATGCAGTAGAGTACATGGACACCACAGTCGCGTCCAATGTTTTGTTGTGGGCAATCCTTAACGACTTCAATGTCAAAATCGATATTGATGTCGATGTTGTATCTACTTGTAGTAGCTTGCATTGCTGTTTTCTATTGTCATGGTAGAAAGGCAAATGTTATTATTTACGTATGTTTTTTATTTGAAGATGGTGGGTTGGTGAAGAGTTTTACCATATCATGTGTATCAACCAAGTACTTGTCGGTTATATTCTCCCTTGGCAACAGCGAGTTGTAGAACATCCAGGTCTCTTCTAACCGATCGAAAACAACGAGGGTGAAATGGTCTGCCACTTTGTTGGGATTCCTATCAAAATGGAGCGGGAACACTAGATAGCGATATGCATCTATGTTTGCAGGAGGATGGAAGGACCTGTCGTTGCTTTTTGGGTTCCTCGTTGCACTCTGTACGGAATCAATGTGATTACATTAGTTGCAGGAGGTCACGAGTGCGCAAATGTAATACCTACTATTATTCACTTACCAGTAGCATGCATGGAAAAACGTAGCTCGTTCCCTCCAACTCAGAATAGTGCGTCTTGTTGAACTCTTGCATGGATTGTCTTATCATTAAGATCTCGCAATATGCGTCAATTGTCTGTAGAAGTGTTGCCATTAATGTATATCTATGTTTTGCATAAGTGCAATATGAGAAAAAACAGGAGTAATGAATAATTGTAGGCTTACAAGTGAGGAGATTTCACCGTGCGTAATGCTCTGCCCCAAATCCTTGACACACACAAATTTTCTGCCATCTGGGCTTGTCCAAACTTTGGTGATGTGGGCAAATGAGTGTAAACAAAATGTTTAGTGGGGGCAAAATACTTATATTGTATTAAACAAAATATGGCGAAAGTATTTTTGTTGAGGCTTACTATTCCTTGTTCGCAGCAGCCTCCACAGTGATGTCCAGAAGAGACCTGTTACTCTCTGACATGTTGCGATAGTTTTTGAATTTCCTGTACTTCCTTACAACCTTGGATATAGTTGTTGGTGTTACAACAGGACGCTTAGACCGGGTTCTATCAGATATGGGGAGTATTTTTTCGATGCCTTGGGCATGTTCTGTGTTGACATGCGGTTGTCAGCAGATTTGTACACTGTGCCCTCATGACCTTCATTGTATGTGCCTTTGCTGTTGGAGTCCATGAGCCCGCCATCGATCTCGAAGGATACATTCATTTGTTCAGCTGAAATTACAGGACAATTGATAGTCTTTTTTTTACTAGATATTGTGTGCTTCAGCTTCTTAATTAATTCGCTTTGGTGGATTATCGTCTGACTATTCTCCTTATTGATGTCTTTCAGCAATGTTACATCGGTAATGAGATCAACGAGTTGTATCTCGGTCTCGTCAACGTACGTCAGAGGTAAAGGATCACCGCGATCTGCCGCTGTTTCATTAGGGTCAGGCTGCGTTTGTGACAGCAATCGGAAAGATGGCATACTGTATTCTGTGGGAGTTTTTGAAATCGAGCCTGTCATCAAGGAAGTGTTTAATTTACCAGCGGATTCGTGCAATTTGGTATCAGGTACGTCACTTGAGTTTGGAAGCTCTGTTTTGGACTTCTTGCGGCTGTTGTTGTCAGCGGTCAGGGCCTCTACATGTAGCTTCAACAGGGCTGTTGTTGCTTCTAAGTCTTCGTACGACTGTTTCATAACAGTCAGCTGTTCTTCGAGTGCGGCGCAACGTAATGTTTCGGCAGCTAACTTGGCTTCTGTAGTTTGGGCTATGGGTTGGGCCGATCCCCCAGCCCTCACTTCTGCGGCTGGTGCGTATTTAGCCAAGAGGTATTCCAGATGTTTGTTCTTCTCTCTCAGTATATGGGATTCGGTCTCGTACTGAAGTGCAAGATTGGAAAGACGACGATTTTCTGACGACTTCTCATGTAATTTCTTCATGAATTTTTCTGGGACATTGATATTTTGAGCATTATCGCCTGTGTCAGCACTGATGCATGTGTCATCTGTTTTGCCTTTTTTGTGATCCTTATTTTTAAAATTTCTTTTCCTTCAACTGCTTCTTTCCACAGCAGGTGAGTCCTTATTGAAGAACGCAGTTTCTTCTTCTGTTTGAGTAAGTGCTGCCTCGTTCACTTCATCGTTGTGGATGTCTCTGATGGCTTTATGCTCCAGCGCTGTCCCCAGTGTTTTCAAATTCCACTTCTGGAACCTTGGGAAAGCATCAGCAACGATTGGTTCTATGATATTTATCATCTCGCACATCCAGAACTGAGGAAACAAACTGGAGTTTGAAATCGACTGCATGTGAGATATTAACATACTATTAAGACAATATAAGTATACTATTAAGACAATATAATATACTATTATGTACTTTTTTAATTTATGTTTTGTGCTACCTTGATATTTAATCCGTATAATTGGTTTTAATATTTTCGATATAAGTGTATTTTTTTTGTACAACTGCTGAATACAGGTTGAATTTGTTAATTGAAAAAATAAATAAACCAGAAATTATATAAAAAAAAAAAAAAAACCTAGTGACGAATAAATAAAACAAATCGTCGCAAATAAATCGTGGGCCTTGCGACGAAAAGGCTATTAGTCGCAAACATTTTTCACAAATGTAGCGACGAAACTGTCACAAAACGTCGCTGAATATAGCGACGAAAACTTAATTCGTCGCCAATGTTTGCGACTTATTCTTTATTCGTCGCAAGTGCGCAGCGACGAAAGTATAGGATCCGTCGCGAATATTAAAAAAACATTTTTTTCCAGAAAATACGAATGTTGTGACGATTTATGAAATTCGTCGCCAAACGTTGCGTCGAAAATGACTTTTCGTCGCCGACCTTGCGACGGGACGTTTGGCGACGTTTTTTGTAGGATTTGGCGACGAAAATAATT